ACACTGCCGCCGTCTCCATGGCAATAGATGGCACTCGATTAATTTCATCATGTGTCAGTAGTAGAGTCAGTACTTAAAAAAGGTCCATTATCCGGAGTAATCAGGCGGCCAGAAGCGATCATATAATAGGGATACCTAGATGATTTATAATGAAATGAGAAATTATTTGTGAACTTACTCAAAGATTTTGAGTTTGATTTATCTTGATGAATCAAGGAAAGAAAATAGCTTACCTGATCACATCACCAGTCGTTGAACCATAATTGCTTCGGACAAAGTTGGTCAGTGACTCGTTTGCATTTCCAAAACATTTATTGCTCAATAGTCCTAGCTCCAAATATGATATAAAAAGTGTCCCAAAACGTGGAACCATTAGACATATGTCTATATATATAATCTGACAAGGGAAGATGCTCGATTCCTGTTCTATAGAAGCTGGATGCATCATCTAATATCACTGTGTCGTAATGGATTTCTGTGATATCATGGTTATAGTTTGAACCACAATCTATGCTAATGAAACCTGAAGAAATGAGGACAGAAAGAAGGTTTGGTTCTGTGTTTGGTAACAACAAATAATGTTGTCATTCAGATTAATGAGATTATCAGACTTGATTGATCCTCAGCATGAACTAGAACCAATAGACAAAATGCATTGCAAAGTGTTGCGAAGAGGAATCGCTTGGCTGCTTCCATGGTGCGCCCACTTTAGTTTCTGAAGACTCTGCAGAGTCTTGCTTATAAACAATGCCCTCCAACCTGCTAGTTGAAACTGCAGTTTTCAGCAGCGAAGTTATTTTAAATGACCATTAGCAAAAATGAGAACCAAAGGTAATAATTAAATAACCAAGTCAAAGCATGTTTCCTGAGGAAAAAAATACTTGATATTTTGATAGCAATATTTATAGATCCACCCTACATTTACTAGCATGCCAAGAAAATTATTGATTTTTCTTTACTTTTACTCAAAAGGTTGCTTTAGGGCCTATTGACCAGAAAATGTTTACAATACAAGTGATTATCAATCCCACTCGCTGTGGTTGACATGAAATCAACTGAATCCTTGCTGATGCAAAGAAAAAGAACTGGATTTTTTTTGCAGTTGATGAATGTTTTACTAATGTACAAATATTTTTTAGAATAAAAATACATTTGGATGTATCATACACAAACGCACTAGAAATAGTAAACACATTATTCTTAATTCTTCTTGTGTCACCTTTAAACATAACAAAATCAATCTGGCGAACTTTATTGGACAGGTTTCATTTACGTAAGGTTTAAACTACTCCAAAAGTGAAACCAGCTTGAAGGAGAAAAGCAACCTATAGTTGAGTTTGGCTAGCTTGTTGAGACCTAGACTCTTTGAGGGAATAATAGTTTCAGTTGAAAGTTTCAAAGGTAAGTATTATTTGCAGATTCTAGTTGAATCTTACAATGATTACAAATTTCAATTGAATTTTCATGTTTCTGCTGCTCCTATTGTCTGATTATTCATTGCCACTGACAATTTTCTTGGTTAGCTTATGTTGCTACTTTTATATTTTTATTCGGAGTCCATTATTTGGAGTTATTAACATTTATTACAGACTATTCTCAGCTGCAAACCACAAAGGTTCTTTAGCAAGCATCAGCTGTGGCTTGTGTACTAGTGCGTGGAAAATGATTTTTCTTCAATGGAAACAATATATTGTCCCATGAAAAGTGACTAGAACCTCTGCCTTAGTGTCCCATGGAAACAAATAATATTGCTTCCTTGCTGCCTCACTCAGCCTGTCTTTTCTTTTTTCACTTGTCCATGGCAAGACCTAATCAACCCATTTTTTACAAGGTTGGGAATTAATCAAAATATTGAATGGACCAACACGTTGGCAATTGGCAAAGGTTTGATAGTTTTTTAATTTTTTTCCCTAACAACCGATGTTGAAATGAAATTGAAGGAATTTTAGAAAAATACTAGTTTGTTGTTTGCACAACACTACAGATTGGGCATAATTAAATTATTTCAATTTAATTGATATTCTGTTGCAAATCTTCTAAAATATATTAAATCAAAGATTAAAAAAAAAATTAAATCTAATAACTTTTTAATCAAAATCTTGCATTTAATTGGTTATTCCTTATGTTTTTCATAAATTTTCAATTAAAAAAAAAAACATAATTTGTTATTTTGTATGCATTGAATCTTAAATAAAAACTTATAATAATCTAAATAGAAAATTGAATCTAGATTTTTCAAAAGAACCTCTCTCTCTCTCTCTCTCTCTCTCTATATATATATATATATATATACATATCATGTTTAAAAATTAACAAATAAAAATTTAATTTTTTTTTATTTAATGCTAATGTGAAGATTATTTTTTGAAAGCATGTATATTTGATTTTTATATATATTCAATCATAAAATAATCAATAATATAGCATTAAAAATTCTATTTGAATAATTGAATGGTTATTTTTTAAAAATTATTTTATTCAAAAGAAACTAATTTTAAAATATCTAAAAAAAATACATTCTCTAATACACACACATATATATACAGTTTCTCAAAATTTTCACAACTAAACACGACCTAAGAATTTGCTCCCAAAGAGTCGCTTCAATCGCTAAAGATTTTGGATTTTCATTAGGTATTAAATTTAAACTTTGTGATGATGAGAATAAATGATTAGGAAATATAAAAAAAATTATCTCGTCCAAGACTTATTGAACCTTTCGTTAAATAAAAAAACTAGTACAAGTATTAATGACGAATACTTTTTCAAATAAGTGTTGTAATCAAGTGAGGATTGAAATAAATAATTAAAACCTAAACTATTCTAATTTGTTGAATTAATCGATAAACTATAGATCAGCTTCATAGGCTTTTAAAATATTCTCTAGTAGGGGCTTTATGTTAGATGTACCAATTTGGAAATATAGTGAGTTTTCAAGGAGTGAGGAAAATGAGAGACACGAAGTGCTATGTCATTATTGAAAAAGCTAAGTGAGTTAAATCTATCTTGGAACTTTAAATCATTTTGAGAAATGATTTATGAATTAGAAAATTCATAATTGACTCTATGTGACTTTGACAAAACACTACAGAATCTAGCATATGGATCCATTTAAAATTGGATCCTTAAGTTAGATTTTGTAGTGTTTTGTCTATTAATCAATAGTTAAAAATCATCATTTGTTTCTCCATTATTGTAAGTTGGTTGAATAGTAACTCTATTATTAGCTATTGATTCCAATATAATAGATGGACATTGGTGATTTTTAGCCATTAATTAAAGGATGAAACCTACAAAATCTAACAAAAGGACCCAATTTCAATAGAACTATCTCAATTTGATTTTTGATTTAAACCAAATACTCTTCACATCGAAGGAAACATATAGGACCATATCTTGAAAAAAGAAAAGAAAAGAAAAAACCATTAGTCTAAAGTACTTTATAAAGACATCATAGCCGGCCGCCCAGATATCACTCATCACTTTATGAATTATTATTATTATTATTTGATTCTACGGGATAATGATGCAATGAAGAAGCAAAAAAAAAAAAAAACTACAGAGAAGAAAAATATTAAGAGTTTAGGTAATTAGTTCCTACTGCCCCATGCATTTGATCATATAGTTAACGGACTGATCACTCGTTTGGTTCATCTCCTCATTTATATATTTAATTCATTATTGAAATAAAAAAAGGCTATCATTATTTACAAGTAATGAATCTAAAAATATCTAACCAGAATATGAAAAAAACGGATGCCAGTAGGTAATGGGAGTTTCGTCACATCATTAATTTCTCTTCTAGAAAATTATATCCACCTAACAACTTCTCAAACCATAATTAACCCACTCTCTCTGATTTCAGGTAAAAAGCTACTAATGGATGTTAAATACATACCACAAAAAAACAGCAAGCATGAAGGAATTGGTGGGTGGCCTCCTTTTTAGATGACAAGCCAAATCATTCCTTTGCTTTAACTTAAGGTTCACGTTTCAATTGTTATTCAAGTAACTCCTCGACAGGTCTCTAGCAACAATCACAGTCCCATCTAGTGCTCCATGTGTCTAGTCATCATCAATCTTCTAAATCTCTTTTAAGACACATTTAATGACATAACGGTCCCCAACAATTGTATAACATCAGAACTAAAATGATCATACATATGATCATGGAGGTTGTCTTTATAATAAGCTCTCCGATCCAGGAATCTATAACATTAATACGATACAAAAGCAAAACGAATAAGTTGTTATAGATATGGAGGAGAAAAGAAAGGAAGAGCGAGAAGCTATAAATGTGTGGGACTGTGGGAGTCCCTTGTATGATTCATATGAAATAGCTTCACTCGGTCATCTCATTGATAGGCACAGTTTGGTCTTGCCATCTCCATGTCGATCCAAAAAGGAAGGAAGGCATGTCATCCAATATTCAAGCATGCCGAGAGATCAAGAAAAGGGTCTGGAGGTCAAGAAGGAAGGATTTTTATCCAAGATAATAAGGATTTTCTTATGGAAGAGAACAATGATCAAGGAAAGGAATGGTCCTAAGGCCAGAAAGCCTGGTAATGGATTTTATTGTTCATTGTACACAAAAAGGCCTGTGAATGTGAAGAAAATAATGTAGGGTTTCACAAGCTTACAGGGAAATTAGTACATCCCTAAAGAGTAGGGAAATGGGTAACTACTTTTCAATTGTCTTCCTTTCTTTGCTTACAACCCAAATAATAATAATAAATAAATAAATAAATAAATACTCATATTGATGATGATTGGCAAAATCTTTTTATCTCTCCCTTCTTGAATATTGCAGTATTTCATTCAAATTTAGTCCTTTTCCTAATTAATTAAATACCAGTTCAGTGAGAAAGTTATATTAAGACACCATGCTGCCATTGGCAAGAAAAATAATGAAATGGACCATATAACCAGAGTTTTCCAAGAGTTTTCCATCTATAGTGAGCAGACAAGGATGTGAGGTATTCAAAGTAAATCCGGACAGATTACTGACATACAAGTCTGAAAACAAAGACCGGACTTTGGAACTCGACGAACTTATTGTCAGGCTCAAGGGTTTGGATAAATACATCTTCTCTAGGTTCATCGGTCACTCCACTTTGTGTAGCATATTCCAATGCCATTTCATAGTCCACCTGCAAATAAAAGTTCATACATCTCAAATGAATAGAAGAGATTTATATGCAGGGAAAGAAGATAAGAAAGGAAGAGGCCCAGAAAAGCTAGGAAATTTGACTTGAAATTGACACACAGGGCTGTTATAAGCATGCGAGAGAACCAACTTAGCCAGAAAATTGCAAGACAGGTCGAATATTTTCATTGATGTTTCTAGTGTCAATTTCCAATAGGTAGCAACATCTTAAATCTTTTTATTATAATCATGTATTGATAATAAGAGAATCTTATATTCTCCAACCCCAGCTATCATTAATGTAACAGCCATCGAAACCATAGCTAGGATGCCTCAGAAAAACTAAAATTGTGAGTAAAACCAAACTAGCTCACCTTTTCAACATGCTCAGCAAGCTTTTCCTTTAGTGTCTCTTTTGTTATCAAATTAGCTGTTATGTTGCCAAGTATCTCTGCTTCCTCTCCGGCATAACGTTTCTTCTTTGATGCATGTAACTGTGACATGTGTTTCAAAACATCATATACAGCATTGGTAGCATCAGGGATATACCTGCCAGTTCGTCAAATTTTGGTTTCAGTACATGCAAAGAAGAAAAAGTATCTGTTTATTACCCATTGTTGATACAGTTTCAAGCCTTTCAATTTATCAATTTTACCCTCCAAATGCAATCAACATTAAACAATATCACCCCATCCATCAAATGTTAGTGATAATTAAGAGATTTTGTTTAATTTGAAAAAAAAACTCAATTTATCATAAATGATAATTTTAGCATGAAATTATAGTAATTTTTCTTTATTTCTTCTTTTATATAAACTAGTGAAATATAGCAAATTTTATTATGATTTGTTATTGAAATTGTTTTTTTTAGGGCGTCTTAGGATTTGTGTTGTTGAATAGAAATGTTTAATAAACAAAATTATTATTGAATCCAACATTGTTTAAATAATAAATAAATAAATTGGGATTATATTGAGGTTTCTCGAAACCATTCCTGAGTGGCTGATTATTGCAACACCGGCTACATGCTCAGGTCCACTGAATAATTTTCCTGCGTGGTATATACCAAGCTACATTATATTATAAATTATAAAAAACCCTAAAAGATATGGAGTTTTTACTATTCTTATACCATTCACACGTTCATATAATACTATTCACTTAATGATATTTTTTATGGGTTTACAGAATTGTGTTTTTGTTATTTTAAGTTTTTTTTTAAGCATTTATTTTATTCACAATACTAGTCACACGTCTTTTAATGTTTTTTTTTAATAATTTTGAGGTTTTTTTTCAAGCATTTTATATGTAAAATTTTACTAATGCTATTCTTTCGTCCCTTATTTTTTAATAATTTTTATTTCGATTCATAACTTTTACTAAGAGGAGAAAGAAATAAAGAGAGAAGGGGAGGAGAGAGAGAGAGAGAGATCTATGTATGAATTTTTTAATGAGTTTTTAGAATATTGTTATCTCGCTCTTAAAAAAATTGATATATTTTATATGAATTTTTTTTTTAATTTCTAAATGCATAGTTATATATATATATATATATATATAACGAATTTTTAGAATATGATTATTTGTTCTTAAATCTTTTTGGATATAATTTATATAATGAATTATTTGAATATATATATATATATATATATATATATATATATATATATATATATAATCTAAAAATTAAAAGTGTTTTTAAGATAATTTTCCTTATATTTTTTAATAAAAAAATATATAAAAAAATTTTTTAATTAAGAATCCATGAATTTTTGAATTTTCTCACAAGTTTTTTTGTTAAGAACTCATATATAAAAGGATAAATCATGTTCGTTTTAGCAAAAATAATTATAAAAAACATAATGAATAATTAGTTAAATACTGAATTTAAAAAAATAGTTTTGATTTTACTTTTAATTTGATATATTTTAATATATTTATAATATAATTCTTGTGATCAAATTAACATTATTTTAAAAATAATTTAACATATTATATTCATCTCCTAGCTTAGCACAAGTAAAATCTAGTGTCGTGTTAAATGGACTGGCATAGATTCATATTTTCATGATCAGGTCCATGGAATAGTTTTCCATGATTTTATTGGGCTCACATTACCATTGTCATGCTGTAGCCGTGATTACGGAGTTGACCCAATAAGATATTAGCTATTAATTGCCAGGTCAAGTGTGATTAATACAGGCCAACAACAGGGCTCGGGCCCCATTTGAGATTAATCACACCAGGTCTGACTTTGTTTTGCTTTCTCATTTCTTTGCCACCCTACTTCATCTTTCATAAAAAAAAATAAAAAATTTCCCAAATCACTGAATAAATTAAAAAAAAATTCTTCATGTACTTCTCCTATTATTATCATTTTATTACTCTTTATTTGTTCAAACTTAGCTGGGTGGTAATTATAAGTAAGTGTATTTAGGTCTTATATCATCCTTGTGAATTTAAATTCATCAAAAAATAAAAACAAAAATACAATAATTTATTTTTAATTATAAATGTAAACTAGTTGGCTTCTCGCATCTGCGCTGCAAACAAACTAAACATATTTACTTCAGTTTGATAATATGTACTCGTGTTGTTGGTCAATAAAAATATATTAAATTAAAGATAAAATGTCGTCTAATTTTATAATTTTTAATCAAAATTTTGCATCTATTTTTTTTTATTTTTCAATAATTTTGTAGTTAAAAAAACATAATTTTTTTATGTATTTATTCTTAAATAAAAACTCATAATAATCTAAATATAAAATTAAAAAAATATTTTAATATTTTTTATAACATTATATTGAATAAATAAAGAAAAAAATTAATATAAAATCTATAAAAAATTAACAAATAAATATTTTTTATATAGATCAATTGGGTTAAAGCGAGGGAACATAAATCGATTTTTTTTAAAAAAAATTAAGTTGTAAAAAATATATTGAAATCCGTAGAGTGTAATGAAAAAAAATTACAAAATTGATTTTGGTGAAATTTGATTGTATAAAGAATATGTAAATAAAACACATAAATTCTATTTTTAATATTTGATTATATAAGAAAATAAGCAACTAAAAACAATTAAAAAAACTTATTTGAAAATCCATACATAATAGATAATAAATTATATTTATTAACAAATAAAATTACATAAAAAATAAGAATAAAAATTAATTAGATAAGAATTTTTATAAGAAATGATAAAATAAAAAGATCAGTTTTAACTAATAAGAGTATATATATGTGTGTGTGTGTGTGTGTTTATTTTAAAATTTTAAAATATATTATTAAAAAAACTAAACCAAAACATAAGTTTACTATTTATTACACTATTCTAGATACTATTCATCCATATTCATATGCACTATTTATCTTGATTCGGATGTATTATTCTTTTCACTATACGAGTAATATTTTTGTAGTTTTTAAATATTTTTAAAACATTTATTATAAAGTTTTCGTGACTTTACACTTTGATCTTTCTCTTTTAGGTATTTTTTTTTTGGTCCACAAATATTTTTTATTTAATTTTGATCCTTACTTTTTTTAATTTAAAATATTAAGGCAAAAAGATGTTTCAAAAAATAATTTATAAAATAAGTTTTTAGCTAAAAATGTAAATAGAGATAAATAAATAATATTTTTAAATTAAAAATTAATGAAAATATACAGAATAATCGATCAAATACAAAATTTTGATTAAAAAATGATAAAATTGAATGAATTTTTATTTAATTTTGATTTAATATATTTTAATAGACGCACAATATAACACGAGACATCAAAATAAAATGATTTTTTAAAATTAATTTTATGTATTTTGTTTGACTCATCGCATAGTATAAATAAAAAATAATAGTTATATATGTTTCATAATCATCAGTTTTTATAAAAAAAAAAAATTAATTTTTCATAATTTCATACTCAATTTCATGATAAAAAACATAAATTGATAGAAAAACCAACAATAAAAAAAAGAATAGAAAAAAAATAATGATTGATTTTTTATAATTTTCACATTCAATACAATAATAAAAAATATATAAATTAGTGGAAAGAAGAAAAAAATTCTGGGAATATTTTAGCATCAATTTCTTGATAAAAAATTGTCAGCTTATTTTTAAGCAGAGTAAAGATAAGGTCTTGAAGAGGAAGCAACCAAGAAAAGTTATGTTTAAACCCTTTTAAGAGAAGCATATAAAGCTTAATGAGAAGAACGAAAAACCTCAAGAAAAGGGTTTTATTGATTGAATTGTCAAGCGAAAAGATTGAGAGCGAGAGAGCAGGGGGGGGCGGGGGCGGGAGGTGGTTGGGGAGTTTTAGTGAAAGGAGATACGAGGTTAAATAAGAGCCTCAGGTTAGCTTTTCAAAGCACCAAAAGCAAGTAAGATCTTGAGTTTAGAGAGAGAGAGAGAGAGAGAGAACGAGGTGATTATGGGAATGACAGAGAGAGGGAGACAAAGAAGGGCAGGAGGCAAAGGATTATCTTTCTTCTTTGTTTGCGAGAAAAGGTGATGACGAAGGATTGAAGGCAATGTTTAAAGTACAGAAAGCAATCCAGCTCATCTCACCGCTAAAATTTTGTGTCTTTTCCTGCCTTCCCAAAATACCCACTTTATGAGCCCTTAGACCTGGTCCTCTTAAGAAATGCTTATGAAATGCTCCTCACTTTATAAGCTCTTAGACCTGGCCCTCTAAGAGATTATTTTATTGGGATCACATTACCGTTGTTATGCTGTAGCCATTGATTTCCGAGTTGACCCAACAGGATATATATGAGTCTTTAATTGCCAAGTCAACTGTGATTAATACAGGCCAACAACTGGATTCGGGCCACATTTGAGATTAATTACACCAGTTCTGACTTTGTTTTGCCTTCTCGTTTCTTTAGCACCGTACTTCATCTTTCATCTCTTGTATATGTGCCACTACTAATAGGACAGACCTTTTTTTTTTTTTTTAGTAGTTTGCATGATATGCGTAAACTTTTCAGCTACTGATCCAAGGGATTTATTTGCATTGTGGTAATAAAATAAAATAAAATTGCTCACTCTGTTTATTTTTTAAGATGAAATTTTGAGATTGATGTTTAAAAGAATTCTTCAGATGCACATTTAAGATTGTTGAAAAAAAAATTCAATCTAGATTGATGTGTAAAGTGATTCAAAAATTTCTCAAATCACTGAATAAATTAAAACAAAAAATTCTTCATGTACTTCTCCCATTATTATCATTTTATTACTCTTTGTTTGTTCAAACTTAGCTAGGTTGTAACCATAAGCAAGTGTTATTTAGGTCTTATATTATCATAGTGATTTTAAATTCATCATAAAAAAAAAAGCTGCAATAATTTATTTTTAATTATAGATGTAAATGATCTGAGTGGTTTTAGTTCATGAAAATTTGCTTTAATAATATCTTGGCATTTATAGGGGAAAAAAAAATCTTGTTTGAGAATATCACGGTGTTTAGGAAAAAATAATTAAATAAAAGTCTTCTTTTTCCCCCTCTAAGACTGACTCAACTTAGTGGTGACGATCGTTCATGTTTTTACATTTGTTGTAATAAGAATCTGGAGCTTTCCATCTGTTTCACATCCAGAAGAATTCATGCTTGCGATGGATTAGGGTTATCGGTCACCATTTTTCTTGGGACGAAAATATTTTTGACTTTATTTGCTCATGTATATGATATTGTCGGTCGTTGAAAATTTCAATCCTTAATAAAGGGGTAGAATATTTATGGACCCTGATCTAGCTTCGTGGAAATTTGGAAGGCGCCGAAGTCAGAAGATGCACCCGTTTATATTATACGTCTGCATGACTTATCCTCTGATCTTCTCCTGGATTATGTTTCAGTAATACTTTTGTAATTGCTTTGTAAAGTATTTTTTATTAAAAAATATATGTCAAATTTTTATGTTTTTCCGATGATTTTGGCATTTCATATCAAAATCATTGTACCGGACAAACCTAAATAAGGTACGTACGAGGCAAGCTGCAAGATTTCATTGCTGAAATTACACACGAGGAAAATAAGAAGGAGAAGAAAGAGAAAAATATGTTTCCAATTACGAAAAATGCTTTGTACGTCGTTTGACCTTGTCTTCTCCGTGGGCTATCTGTGTTTGGGTGAATAAAGTCAAATTATTACCTAGGTACATTGGTGTTGGGTTGAAAATGTCTGTCCTCTCATATATTATTAACAATACTGTTTCCAGCAATTTCTGCTCTCTCTCCCATTAGTGCAATCTTAACAGTATTTTTTGTTCGAAAATATCGATCTCAATAGGATGAATCCCACATGACATAAATTAAGATTAAATTATATAATCTGCTATATATTATTTAAAAAACTCATCTTGATTAACAACGTTATTTATAGATGGTTTGGATTTTAGATTTATTGGTTGAATCTTAGGAAAGTTCGCATGAAAATTATGTTTGTATGATTATAAATATAATAGTCTAAATGTAGAGGACTTGCTTGAAATCTCATAAAAGCGGATTTAATCCGTGGCAATAAAGCTGACCAGATGATATTGTTATCGTTAAGACAAAGAATACAAAGGAGGGAAGAAATTTTTTTTTTTTTTTTTCCTTTTTCTATGACGTTCGTCCAACATTAAATCCTTTTCTTGTTTAGATTTTTTTCCCGTTGGACATTATTGGATTGTTCTAATAGGAGAACGGGTAAAGAAGAAGCTTAAATCTGACCTGTTTCTTATTTGAAACAGGTCATGGCATGCAGTGTCAATGTCATGGCAGCCTTGACATTCAAAGTCATGTAAAGTCAAAACGATACCTTGTGTAAACATTCTTACAAGCAAACCACCACACATATTTCCACATTTTCTCGCTCACATTTTCCCTTGGTTTCCCGGGAAAAAAAAAGTGAAAAAAAAACAGTACTGTCGGGAATCGGTCCAACTTATTCCCTTCCTCCCTCCCTTCCAAACTTTCACTTTTATTGGGAACCACATATTCTTAGATTTTAAACAAACCCCAACTTTCGTTTCTTTTTATTGTCCACTTTTTCTATACGCTCTTTTTTCCTTTTTGTTTCTAAAGCAAGAAAAATGTTAAATGTTTTATACTGTAATAGATACCGCATGGTTCTCACAAAAAGAGGAAATGATAAACTTCAACAATAGAAGTCTCATATCTTCTCTATTTTTTGGTTAGAATCCCATGATTCTGATATATTTATTTTGTCTTGAAGTAAGTTGAGGCTTTTGTTTCTCGTCTTAGAGGTTTTGAGGCTTGTTAAGAACGTATTTTTTGGGGTTAGCTTGTTTTGTTGTGTTTTGGTTTCTGGGTTTTAGTTTTTGAGGCTCAATAATGGCTGAAGGGTCAACAAAAGTTCGGTTAGTTCGTTGTCCAAAGTGTGAAAATCTCTTACCAGAACTTCCTGACTACTCTGTGTACAAGTGTGGTGGTTGTGGTGCTGTTCTTCGAGGTTAGTTTGGCTTCACTCCTTATCTTTCTTGATTTTGGTTGTGTTTGTTTTCTTCTCTTTGTTTGGTCGGTCAGAAATTAAAGGAAAGTTTGAAATTTGAACTTTCATATTGTCCCAATTTGTGAACAATAGCTTCAAAATTCAATTTTTGTAAGGTTTTCTCCTTTTGGGTTCTTCTTTTAATGAAAGTAAGTGATTAAAGGTCAATTTTGGTGAAATTGGGAGTTTGAATTGTTTTTTCTTGTTATACAGCAAAGAAGAAAGTGACTGTAAATGGTGGGATATTGGAGAAGTCTGGAATGGAGAGGGATGAAGAGGGTTTTGGGAAATTGGAGAGTTTATCAGATAAAGAAGGTGATGTTGTGGGTAATGCATCTGAGACAGAGAGGGAGGGTGATAGGATTAAAAATAATAGGAGAAAAGGAAGAATTTTAAAAGAAAGAACTGTGAATTTTGTTAATAATCCTTTGTCGGAAGCAGAAAATAAAGAGGCTTTGGCTGCTAATAGCAACACAGATGTGATGGAACAGGATATGGTTTGTCAGAGTGGTGCAGAGAAAGAGAAACCTTTGAAGCACCTTGTTGATAATAGGATTCGCAGAGATGATAATGGCATGAACATGAATAGATCTGAGTCAGTTAGTTCAAGTAGAGAGAAAGGTACTCGAGAAATTTCAGCACACTTTAAGAGTTCTGCTGAGTTTTTGAGGCCAGCATGGGGCTCAGACAGAGAGAGTTTTGGGGGAGGGAACCTTAGAACGTCTGTCAGACGAAGCAAATTTCCAAATTTTGCTTATCCTGACGAGGGACCTTCAAACCATCATTTGGGTTCCACTTCTTATGGATCCAGCCAGCCAGTGAAGAATTATTACAATCCTGACGGGCCTGACAACATTGCATATTTAGAGCAGGATCGAGCTGAGCTTCTTAGGATGTTGGATGAGTTACAACAGCAACTCAGCCGATCTGGTTCTATGGGTGAGAAACAGAGGGAAAGGATTCCTATGGACAGCAAAATAGCTCCTCGTGATCCTTATTGTGGTCGTGATACTTACAATAGTTTGATGCTTCCTTTGACTCCAGATAAGCATGTTGCAAACCCCCCTTGTTTCAAGCACTATGGCCGTGGACTTGCTCCCTATATGAACAGTCATGACATGGATATGCAGAACTTCTACATTCCATCAAGGAATTCTCCAAATGAAATGCTAGCTTATGAGGATCTATATCAGCAACAAACCCCCAGGATGCGTACCCATCAACCACCCGGACAATACTTGCGTCAACCACCTTGTGATAACTTTGCAGGGCAATATGTTGATGTCAGTCACGAACCTCTCGTATCGTATGCCCGTGAGAGCTTGCATCACAGACCTGCATGCCCCTGTATTCATTGCTACAACAACTGGCATATTCCTTCACAAGCCTTACCCACTACTTTTGGCAATAGAAAATCCCCAAACACCTCAACTGATTCCAATTTTAATCACCATGTCAATTCTGTGACATATGGGCTACCGCTTTACCATCCTCAAGCAAATCCCCCTGCATTGAGTTCACGGGATCCACATGTAATATGGCCAAGTGATGTTGAATCAGATATGGATGGCTTTCCTCAGAGTCACTCTAGAAAGGTGGTGATAGCCCGTGGAAATAAACGGCTTTGCCGTCTCATAGCTGGTGGTGCCCCATTTATAAGTTGCTATAATTGCTTTGAGTTACTAAAACTGCCTAGAAAACTTGAAGTGAAGGAGAAGAACCAGCAAAAGCTGCGATGTGGTGCTTGCTCAGCACTTATCTTGCTTGAAATAGAAAACAAGAGGCTGGTTACTTCTGTTCCTGCAGAAAACAAGAAAATATTGGTCAGGGCTGATGGTGCCTCACACGAGGTGTCTAAAGAAGTGTTCTTGAAGTCTGATGGCTGTTTGAATGCTGGTGCTACAAATTGCCCTGATGATTTTGACAATCCCGGGCATGACTTCCAGTCAGCAGATTTGAAAGATGTACTCTCAGAAGAACAGAAGCTAAACTCAAGCAAACATGAGAAAAGGCAGGGCCTTACTTCATCATCTTCTAGTTCTTCTGAGGAAGAGGAGAACCTAGATGGTATGGCTGTTCAGAAAGATTTTTCCTATGCTGATGAGCCGCCCATAAAAGATGAAGTGCCTTCAACATTTCAAAGCTCACCTTCCCGAGAGCATTCTGGTGATGTCTTATCTAGTCATGCAGAAAACAAATGTGAGAAAGGAAACACGGTAGGGTGGACAGAGCAGGAGAATGTTATACTTGAGAAGAACATTTCTCGGCAGACCTCTGTGAAAGATGTCTCAATGGCAACCGAAGTGGAAGTTCCTTTCAATGAATACCTACATACCAGTGTATCTCAAGACTCTGTAGAGGTAAGCAAAGAAGAAGATCAGTTGAGGAACAACAAGGGGAGTGAACCATTCTTGGTGGGTCTCATTAAAAAGAGCTTCAGGGATTTCTCAAGATTTAATCAACACGTGCATAATGAAAAACCTGACATTTTAATTAATGGGAAACCCATTTCGGATCGCATGGTCAAAAGGGCTGAAAAGCTTGCTGGGCCAATTCAGCCTGGAGATTACTGGTTAGTTTCTGCATTCCCTCGGATATTGTTTGTTGCATTACTTGTGGATGCAACGTTGTGCTCATAAGCTGTAAATGGTGCCATACTGCTTGACAGAAAAACACTACTATTGTATAGTAATGGTACTTTGATATCTGTGTTTCCCATATATGACTACTACAAAATGGCTCGTAAGTTGGGTAAGACGTAAAAATAAACCGAAGGAAAGAGTACCACTCTTTTCTGTGCTTACATGTTTACAACACCTCTGTAATCCAAAATTGGTAGCTGGATAAATTATCATGTAAAAGATGTTCAACATTTTTCTTTGCAATAGGGCCAAGTAGTTTCTGTTTGATTACTTTCTTCTTGTCAAAGCATGAATATGAGAGGTTAGATAGCTTTTTTCCAACTCAAAATACTAATATTTTCCCTGTATCTGCCTTTGCCAGGTATGATGTTCGAGCTGGATTTTGGGGTGTGACTGGAAAACCTTGCCTTGGCATTATTCCCGTGAGATGAAGATATCTTTGGTTTAGATATTTCTTCTTTTGATGACAACTTCAATATTTCTGCATGACTAAGCGTCTCTGTTCTTTTGCAGCCTTTCATTGAAGAATTTAATCATCGCATGCCAGAAAATTGCGGTGCTGGAAACACAAGAGTCTTTGTTAATGGGAGAGAGCTGCATCAGAAAGATCTTGACCTACTTTCTACTAGAGGACTACCAATCACGAGAGAGAAGTTCTACATCGTTGAAATTTCAGGGAGAGTTTTTGACGAGGACACTGGCGAAGAGCTAGATAGCCTTGGGAGACTGGCCCCAACGTAAGTTCCTCTTTTACCATGATCGTTTATAAAGAATCTTCCACATTAATGCTTCAGACTGTGAAACATATCAAAGGTATCAATGTGAAACTTAAATATTCTCTGGGATTAAAAGTTCTGTAACCAGAATCATGGATATCAAACTCTAATGGTGCGTTATCATGTGGACAAAATGATAAAGTCAAGTTTAATGTGTTACTCCTAAAAATTGGTCCAAGATTTGTGATTCTTGTAAATAAAAAGCAACTGATTAAAACCGGTCACAAGAAGTATCTGAAATACATATGTCAATCAACTTTGTCTACCCCTTCTCTTCAAGGTTCTTGCCATTGTGGTTTTCTGGGGAATTTTTATCATGAATATAGTCACTTATGTTTGCATCACGTCCTTGGACTGTCGAAAGGAAGAGAAGGAACACATTGGGAAATCTGTTGCTTTGTTCTGCAAGAACACAATTTCAACATAAGTTATGTCTGAAACCAAAGGAATTTTTTTTTTTTCATTTACTTATATATAGCTGATGCTGATTCGCTTTGCTTTTTGACTTGCCTCGATCTAAATTAAATGCATAAAATAACCAACAAAAGGTTCATGGCCTGAAATATGGGAAGCTAGAATATTTCTTGTTTGGCCGCTCACTATTTTTACTAATTACTTATCTTGAGTATGCTTTATTGAAGAGTTTACATATTTGCTAGCTTTCATTAATTTCAATGTATATTGATGCAGTACTGATTGCTGACTGTTTTGAACAGAGTGGAGAAGGCTAACCGTGGCTTTGGCATGAAGGTTCCTAGAAAGCTTTGTAATTAAGGATCTCGATCGGTTGTGGATTCTGAGGTCATCAACGAAATATTATTTGCATATGTTTTGTTGATATCCTAAGGTGTCTTGTCCTGACAATGAATGCAATGCCAAATTCATCCTAATGTTTACACGCGACAACATGGTATTCTTGAAATCTTCTTGGACATCCTAGTTTATAAAGTTGGATACCCTTTATGTAGGCAAGTTGATTAATAATTTGTCAATGGTGAGGAATGCCGAAGTTATTCAGAAAAGCCTACAGGGTTTAATGATCTTTATATCCTTGAAGACTTCCAGTCAAAAAGTTAACGCACTGTTAAGAAGGCATGTATGTAATATTCGTCACTTAAAATCCTATTAAAAATGTAAATGTATACATAAATGTATTATATAGATATTTTGTAAATTAAAAGTGTATTTATTGAATGAGTGGGTGAAGTTTGAAATTCAATTAAGGATAAAAGAAGCACAAATAAAATTAATGGAATGGGTTTATGGAATTAGAGAAGCTTGAATTAGACAATGATATCTTTAATTGATATGGTTATGCATTGCCATAGGGGTGTAATTGTAAAAAATAAAGGTATAATTGTAAATATCAAAGGTTTAAGTCTTTAATTAAATAATTAAGAAACCTTAGAGACTTGAATTAACTTTAGGATTGGCCTAGATAAGGGTTAAATTGATAGAGAATGTGAAGTTACGGACTAAAATTACATGATCAATTGCAAGGATTGGAAGTTTGAGGACTAAGGTGAAAAGTGTCTATAATGTGAGGGATCTATTATATGAACTTAAGGGACAAAAAGAGTTAGAAAAATTTGAAATTTCATATTTAAGAGAGGAGAGAGAGATGGGCTGGAAGGAGAAAAAGAAGGGAGAAATAAAAGGAAAACCTAGGGCAAAAGAGAGAAAGACTCCACACATCCAAAATTAACACTCCCAATCACTCTAATTAGTTTAAAAACATCTTAAATTAGCCTCCAAATCATATTAGAAAATCAAGCAAGGAGAGGAAAGAATTATCCACTTTGGTTGAATTTTGTGGAAGAAAGGAGAAGAAAGTACCTAAGGAGAAAAGAAAGAAAAAAAGCCAAATTCTAAGTGAGGTAAGTATAATTCCTCATTTACACCATAAGAATTTATATTTCGAATTGTAATTAGTGCTCATTTAGAATTTGTTTGATGAAGGGTTGATTAATATGTTATTGAGGATTATGTGAAAATGATTGAATTGTAATGGTATGGTAATGATTATGTGTTTATTTTATGAGGATGATAATGTTTGAGTGCTTGAATGATGTGAATATTCAAGTTTGAAATGTGTCCTTGTTCAAAGAACAAGGTGGATGAACAATCCATAAACATATATAAATTGGTAATTACTTTACCTAATGCCTATCATGTGTTTGATGAAATGTTTTAGAGGCATTCTTAAGGTTAGATTGAAGGAATAAAAGTTGTTCTTCACTTAGCTCAAATCCAACTAAGTATGAAAAACAAGGACAAAGAGGCAAATGACAAATGGTCAAATATGAGAGACTAAGAGGATTAAGAGAAATGAGAATGATTATGTTTATACTAAAAATTGATTGGTTATGATGTTGTTTGATTGACCTTAAGATGATATTCATTATTTTTATGAAATGTGCATAGTATGTTTTGTGCTTGCATGCATACTTATGTCATTGGAACATGTAATTGATGTATTATCTTATGCATGTTCTTGAGGATTTTCAAAGGGTATGCATGTTGAGAAAATGTTAATGACATTGCATTCTATTCAAATGCATATGCACATCATTATCATGAAAGAGGATTTTATATTCATGACTTTGATGAAATAAAAAAGAAAAAAGGTTTTAAGAAAAAAGGAAAAAGGCTTTCAAGATTTTCATGGTTTCATGATAATGTCATTTCTTCGTCAAGGGATTTGGTAAAGACCTCAAAAGTTGGGGGATTTAGTGAAGGCCCCGACTAAAGAAAATAACCCACTTCTTCATCGAGAGATTCGGTTAAGGCCTCGACAGGTTGAGGGATTTGGTAAAGGCCCTAATTGAAGAATATGGTAAAAGCATTTTTTTATCAAGGGATTCGGTAAAGGCCTCGATAATTAAGGGATTTAGTGAAGGCCCTAATCGAAGAAATGATAAAGGAAAGGGTGCATTAAAAAAGGAAAATGGTTTTCAAAGGCATGAAAGAGGACTTTATGAAAGTTGCATCATGTACATTGATGCATCAAGGATATGTTATACATTGTATGAATTATACTTACCGAGTTTTATCTTGCTCACTATTGTTTTCTTATGGTGTAGGAAATAATAAAGATAAATGAAGGGTTATTGTCAAGGCAAGTGATGGACTTACCCATTTTGTGTGCTTTGGTTTTGGGTAGTGAGTATGGGAATTTTGTTAGCTTAACTTGATTTTTGAGTATATATATAACAAGTTAGGCCTTTTGGTATGTATGTAAGTTAATTAGACAAATGTTGTTTTAGTATAAATAAGAAAGTGATATGAATGTTAAGTTAGGATTGTGTTAACCTTGTTAGCCATAAAGGCTAGATGTTTAAAATGACTAACATGGCTAGGATGATAAGATAAGAGGTTGGAAATGATTGCAATGGCTAAGTTATTAGAGAAGGCTTAAATGAAAATAGTAAAGGTTAATTAAACCTAAATTAAGGGGGGAAAATTTTATACTCAAATTATGTATAGCGGACCTAGTATCCCATAATCAATAGTGGTCCTTATGTATAAATAAATGCCCACTTTTGCTAATGCACTAGAATTGTTAAGGAGAGAAGGCTTGTTGGCTTGCGTTCATTACACTCCGAATGTAAGTCAATGTCGGTAATATCCACGACCTATCTAGATCCTAGGTCGAGGGTGTTACAAAGTGGTATCGAACAAGGCTTACCTTAGCTATTTAAGTTAGGTGATCGATTAAGCACACACAAGTCATGTCTTAATGGCAAATAAGATCCAAAGGTATGTGATACATGATAAGTGTATGTTTACGTTGAATGATATGAAAAATGATATATGATGAACTTGGATGTTATGTTATGGAAACTAAGTGAAAAAGAAATGTTGAATGAAAAGGTACAATTGTCAACTTACCCGGAATGTTATTGAAGGTATATGATGTGTTTGCATGGAATGTTATTAAGAATATGTGAAGAGGAAACGTTGCTGGAAATTAAATGGCGATTACATGATATATGCTTGAAGAAAGGTGAAGAGGAAGTATTGAATGGAATTAATAAATGGCTAAGGATACATGATACATGGGCATGGCATTTTGCCTTTCAAGTCGTGACAAAGGTTATTGCTCGTGTGATCACTTTTCCTTTAAAATGATGTGTTTGCATTATGATATAGGTATAAGTCGTGTGTCCATTATTTTCTTTTAGATGAGAAGTTTGCATAAACATATATAATCAAATTTGTGAGCCTTATTTCATGTTTAAATGATATATATAGTATATTTGATGTATGTACGTGATCGAGTGTGTCATTGTCCTTTGAAATGATATATATACCAATTAATGAATAAGCATGGTCGTGTAACCGTTCTCCCTCAAGCCGTGTCCTTTTTTTTTTTTTCAAGCCATGATAAAGTAATTCATTTTCTTTTGAAGGGTATTTTTAATTTACATATGTAGATGATCGTGTTATATTCTTTTTCAAGCCATATCCCATTTTGCCTTTAAATCATGTAAAACTCAAAATGGCTATATGAAACTAAACATGATCTGTGTGAATCATTTTCACTTGGATGGTATATTTAATTTAGGTACATACATGGTCATGTGAAATTTTCTTTCAAACCGTGTTAATGTATTCTAGTCTTATGCCTCATTTTCTTTGAGTTGCTCTCCAAATCGTGGGTGATTCCGCCTATGTGCCTTCATTTTTCCTTAGATTAGCCTCTCTTTCTTGAAACTCAAGCACATGCATATGACATTTCTTCTCCAAACCATATAGATCAATTCTACTTATGTCTCCTCCTCTTTTTTGAATGATCTTGTTTCAATGAGACATACATAATAATGTGTGATTTGTTCATCAAACCATGACATACAATTCCGCTCGTGTGCCATTTTTTTTTCATAGTTATGTGATTCTCCATCGAAACACACATGAGCATGCTTTAATTGCCCATCAAACTATGTAAAGAGCTACCGCCCATATGCCGCACTTCTCTTTTGAATGGAACTTCTTCAATAGATAAATATGGGCATGTCCCAAATGCTCTTCAAGTCGTGCAAAAGTATTATACCCATGTGATCACTTCTCTAAATTTTATATGGTTCCTTCTTTATTTAAAGTACCTATCTTAAGTCCTTAGTGACTTTGATTTGAAGCTTTTTAGCTTGGTTTAATCATATCAAACCCATAGGAAATGCAATGACTATTACTTAACATAATGTGAAATACATGAATATGGTTTGAATTGTTTTTTATCATTGTTTGAATGATGTGCAATGATATAAGAATGCTATGAATTATGAGGCATGAATGAGAATGTGAATGTAAATATGATATAGTTGAATTGATATTAAGCGACTAAAGAAAGAGAAACTAACTAGATGTATGATTGTGTACGTGTAGTTAGTGAGAATGCCACCTACAAAAAGAAATAACAATGATCATAACGAAGCGAATTCAAGTAGGGATGTCGTGAATAAAGAGGAATAGCTCATAATACTATTGAGGTAGTAGCAAGACATGATCCAAAACATACAAAGGATGATGAAGGTACAACATTAGTAATAACAGAATCCGAAAGTGAATAGACCACCATAACAAGCGGACATAGTTGAGTGCTTTAAAAGTTTAATTCGAAGGAGTTCAAAGGCAAGCTAGATCTAATGGTTCGCTGAGGAATGGCTTAATTCCATAAAGAAGATCTTCGACCACTTGGCATTAGAAGATGTTGATAAAGTAGCTTTTGTTACTTTTATGTTATTGGATGATGCAAGCATATGGTGGGAGTTGGTGAAAGTTACCCTAGATATGCCACAACTCACATAAGCATGATTCAAGAGAAGTGTTTAATGAGAAATACTTTTCAAACACTATTAATTCCTAGAAGATCCAAGAGTTTCGAAACTCATGCAATGAGATTGGTAATGGCTGAATACATTAAATAATTTGAGCATGGTC